GACATGAGTCAGGGAGAGGGGAGAGGGTACTGGAGGATTAGGCACGTAACCAGTGAGGCCGACACTGGCTCTAATTCTGCAAACAGTATGGAAAATGAGAGCATGATTCTTATTTTTGCTTGAGCCTGTACTTATGGTGATGATGACTAATGATTAATGTGTAATAATTTGTCTGTATTACAGTACCTCCAGTATTTTTGAAAGACTGGGCTACAGCAAAGCCAGACAGAACATGTCTCTTCTAGTTGGGTATTCCTGCCTCAGTTGATTTCTGTCTGGTATGACTGTAAATTGTTTAAGGCAAAATGTATTCAAAGAATTAGCGAGACGTGTGTCCATCAGTACACCAAGGGGATCATTTAAAAAGACAATGCAAGTAAAATAAGGGAGTTGCATTTTTCCTTTCATGTGTTTGCTTCTGTCCTCAGGTGTTTCGGCTTCAGACACCATCAGTCCTGGCAGAGGCAGGTCCGGGCGGAGTCGGGGGCGGCCTAAAGGGTCAGGAGGCGGGGCCAAGTCAGGAGGAAAAGGACGTGGCCGCAAGTCAACAGCGGGCAGTGCGGCGGCTATGGCGGGAGCGATGGCTGGTGCGGCAGCTGCGTCAGCTGCAGCTTATGCTGCTTATGGCTACAGTGTTTCTAAAGGTTAGTGCATGTTGTATCTGCTCTCAGGCAAATAATATATACATGTACATGGGCAGTCCAAATCTTTTTGTGCAAAAATAAAAAAAAAAGAATGTTGTTGTACATGTCCTTTATTTACATGTCACATTTCTTGATCAAACATTTCCGATGGCTGTTGAAATCTGGAAGGAAGGAAGGACTGGTCTCAAGCTTCACTGTCCATAGTTTGGCATTTTGAGGAAAACTTTGTTTTCAGAGAAACATTCTTTGTCTGTAACTGTAATCAAAGGCAAGCGAAACTAACCTTGTTTCACTTAAAACAAGTTACAACAGAAAGGAAAGGGCTTTGTTAACTGACAAGTGGGAACAATGTTTCTGTCAAGTACATAGCACTGTGTGTGTTTGTGTGTTTTTGTGTTTGTGTGGTGTTTTTCTGCTGACCTAGCCTAAAACCATTCTCAAAACTTGTTGTTGAGTGATTTTGTTGTTCTGGATAAGGTCTGTATTGAGACTTACCACTCAAAATTTGATTGAAATTATGAAACCAGCAAGACTTTTAATGTGGAAATTCTGAGTTGTTGAGTTTCTTCAATGAGAGTAACCATGCCCGTGTCATTCCCTCCTTCCAGCAGGCCTCTCTGCATCCAGTCCCCTGCAGCCTTCCCTGGGCCGGTCTGGTACCAGCCCAGCCTTCAACCCCAACAGAAGCTCGTCCCCCCAGGCCAAAGGAGGCAACTCCACCCCGAGTCCCCATAAACAGCTCACCCACAGCCACCACCACAGCAGCCATGGTGCAGTCAGGAAGGGCAAGGGCCCTGGTGGTCCTGGGGCTCGATGATGCACTCATACGCACTGTACACGCATTATTGTGCACGCACACACGCGCACACACACACACACACACACACACACACACACAGATCACACAGATAACTGACCTTCTCTCACTGTGATTCCCACAGACACCCTACGCTTAAACTAATAAATAGGGAGTGCAGTATTTATAGTAACTGAGGCTCACTACCTGGAGGACCATGCTATGTGTGCAGCAACTGAAAGGACCCTCTTCACACACACACACACACACACACACACACACACTTCATTTGAAGATACACTTCCTACCAGCCTCCACATGTCTTGTGTCAGTTTTATTTTCATGTGTCCAGGTCAGTGGACAAAATCTGCCTTGAGTATTTTTGTTTGCATTGTGACAAGAGCATTTCCAAGTTCCTTTTTGAGAAGACAAACTGTACTTTTCTACTCTTGACAGGAAGCTCTTTTGATTTGCTACCAAGCGGTGATGCTGCGACAAAGACGTGAACAAACATGTGTAGCTTAAAGGGCTTTGAAATCCTTGTGTTTGCCGGCATAGTGAGACAAAGGAGTTTCTGTCAAATGCACTGAGCCACGTCTTCCGTTTTTGTGGTGTTATTGATTCTCATACATGCACACTAGGTTATTTAATTGTTCTGTAGATATGCTCAATGCAAACTGGTGGATGATTCTGCATTTCACTGAGCTTAATGTGAACCCACACTTTACCAAACTATGTCTACAGCTTTTCTACTAAAGCTCTTATTTTTGTAATAAAAGATGCAAGTACCCAAACCAACATGGCAGGTCTTAACATTTTCAAAAAAAAATTGTCCATAAAAAATGTATTGCAGTACAGATGAAAATGAAAATCGATTATATATTTTTTGCCCAATGGGAAAATGAATGAATGGATGATGTAAAAATGATATTCCAAAATGAGGGGTACTGGTTGATACGGCAATGCTGCTAACAGTAAATTTATGAATTCACTTTGATTATTTGGTTGTCTAATATTTAAGTTATTTGAGTTACGTTAGAAATGGACGATTCATGATCATTGCAAATGGGATATTCACCTGTAAAACAGTGTAAAATGTACTGAAGCCATTTTCTATTTTTCAGAAATAGTTTTTTGTGATGAGGAGTCTGTGGTTCGCTTTGATGTCATTGCTGTTTTAGGAAAAAAAAAGATTTGCATCAGTGTCCTACGTTGAGCACTACATCTGTTCTAGGTTTGTTTGTTTTTGTGTTAATAGTGTGATTAAAATATGATGTTCTATATTGATGTACATAATGATGAGAGTGGCTTTTCCTCTGTCTTTTCCCTCATTTGCCTGTCTATTTTTATAGGTCGTGTACATATGAAGAAATGCATCTGCCATTTTACTAACAGGTGAAGCCAACTGAAAATAAAAAGAGTGCTAAATCAATATTTCTGCTTATTTTTTCATGATTTTGTTGTATTTGTTGTGTTCATTATACTTGCATTGTTCACTTAAAGACAAAAGAACAGCAGTGCGTAAGGACACTAATCTCCACTGACGACAAAATAATGGGAACATGAACAAGACTGGAATTTAAAGTTCCTCTCAGGCTGGAACTGTAACCATATCTGCTCTTATTTCCTCACTGAGAAATTCTAGATCAGGCCTTGTGCCCTGCCCACCACCACTGCTTGCATTAGGGTAATGGGTGAAAGAGGAGAGCATATCAAGATGGCTACAGGAGGATACATCAGCTATCTGTACTGTCAAGGTTTCGGGTTTATATTGCTCACCCCCTGTCCCCGCAAGTTGACAGGATTGGTTCCTTAGGTATGTGACGTATGAAACCCTGGCTGTATGAATCCATTTTTTATGAGACTGTCATTGGTTCAAGGCATTCCCGAACAGGTTGAAGGTGTTCTGAAACCCTTTATGTGTAGATAGAGTAGATAAAAACTATTTCTAAAAATGGTTCGATGGAGTTTTGGGAGGCCATATTAAAAGTTTATTTTGGTCCTGATATATTAAAGCTGCTGAGACAGTCATGGAGTTAGTCATGGAAATAAACCCTCCTGCATGCAGCATAAGGGTGAGAAACAGTTCGGCAGACCATATACCAGACCATCCTTTCTTCTGTTTCTCCTGGATCAGTGGCTGCTATAGAAATGAGCTCTATGAACCTCAAAATAGTCCTTGTTGAGACTATCACAGAGGTATTGAATCAACTGCGGCTTTTTGAAACCATACTTTTGTAGTCTTTGGCAAATCCCATTTACACTGCACACTACAACATACAGAAATAAAATCCCATTTGTAAAACCAATCTACGTACCCAGGGGTCACATCCAGTCATAATTTCATTTGTGGTGCTCTCAATATTAAAAAAAAAACATTTCAACAGTTTAATCCTTTTCCAGAGAAAATGTCCCTGTTCCTCTGAATACTATACAGACATTGCTGTGGACAATTTTCATTGGAACGACTTTCTATTGAGGAAATAATCCCTGTGAAAGCTGAAAGAACAGTGGGTGAGACCTCAGTAACTGGGGTGTTGTTTTTGGAGAGACGCACAGATGTTGAGTTTTCCAAATGAAGACATCAAGTGCTTTGAGCAGCAAAAACCAAATTCCATTTATCTCACTTGTACTGGGAGGGAATCAGAAACTGAAGCTATCTCAATGACTCAAGGGGTAAGTGAGGTTTTTTGTGTGTATGTGTCATATGGGTAAAGTGACCCTTTAACAGATACACCGTAGGTTTGGGAATTCAATATTCTGAAGTACACCTGGATTCCTGGCAGTATATTTTCACATCTGGATGAGCGCCGCAGCAGCATGTTCTTCCTGGTGCACTCTAACATGACCGCAGAGCAGACTGTAAACACAGGACTTCCAGGTCTGGACTCGTTCCCAGCCCGCGGTTATATAAGCTTGTGCATCTAGATAGACTCTTTTGACTTGAATCACATCCAAGGTACAAGCTGCTCCGGCCAATGCTTGGGAGTGTCCAATGTATGTTTATATATGTGTCTACGCCAGGGCAGGGGGTATGCTCCAAAAAATAGGTTTACTGAGTTATCTGGATAATGCTGTGTGACATCCTGTGTAGAAATGTCTTGGCTGGTGGTTCCCAACCTTTCATTGCCATTAACAAAAAAATCAAATCACCATCAATTTCAACAGAAAGGGATTTATCCTTTAAGACTGTATAATTTGGAGATTAGGATAATTATGAGGATTTAAAGGCCTGAAGAGGTGGAAGTATTCAGCATTCCTTATAAAAAAAAAAAGAAAAAGAAAAACAAATTAAGTGTTTTTTTTAAAAATCATTTTGTGCCTCTGATTCACTATTGGACCCTTAACTGGTTCTTTCTGCTTTCTAGATGACTTTGCAACACAAGCCATCTGCCAGTGTTTTCCTGGCAAGAGGCAATATAAATGAAGTTTTACTTGGAAATGATCCAAGGCTATGAACCACATGCCATATAGGATTTTCTGTGCAAGTCAGAAAAAGATGTTAGCTGGCACTAACTTTATTAGCTCATGTTCCCACCAGTGTTAATGTTAGGCTCAAAACAACAAAAGGCAAAAGACTTCCTTTAACTTTTTTAATTGGCATTTGCATTTACACTGCACGGAGAAGTTGCCACAAGCACCTTTTGAAAAACACGTCTACACCTTTAAAATACATCACAGCAGCCATTTGGTGAATTTCAAAAACAGGTTTAACTACCACAATGAAATCGCTGTAATGTCTGAAAGCACTGGACGGAATCTGAACTGTGCAAATTAAAAACCGTTGATGTGCTTTTTAAAACAGATGTTTACAGTCAACAATTCAGCGATGACACTTTTTTTTGTGAATGTACAAACATGTGCCATTGCGATGTGAACATGAGGTCATGCTTAAACAAAAACAACACACTTAATATCATGCTTTCCTTCTTTAACACTTCAGTAGCATTCAATTGCCTCTAGTGCACTGGATTGTAGGGTGAAGCTAGATTCCACAACATAAAACATAGGTTGACTGGTGTGACAGATGAAAAGCCTCAGTGTTTTAGTGTGTGTGTGTGTGTGTGTGTGTGTGTGTGTTCATCCACTACACCCTAGTATGACAAAGGGTACAAGCTACTGGTTGCTAACAGATAGTACACTGTGGTCAGTGCTGCTTGCTCGATGGAGTACAGGTGATGGTCTTCCACATGTGGGCAGCTGCTCCTCATGAACTGGGCCAGGCGGAGCAGGTACTCCAGGTTGTGGCCCGTCTTCCCACTGGACACAGCGATCTGGGCGCCGATCGCCGCTGGGCTGGCCCTCCCCAGGTACAGGGGGTTGTCAGAAGTGGCAATGTACACCAGCGCCTGAACTGGTGACTGGTTCTCCCCCTGGGGGAAGAAATCCACCATTTTGGTGATGTAGCCACCGCAGACTGTCTCGCGCACGTCGAGGTACTTCAAGGACTCCTCAACTTGAGTGCCTGTCACCTCGAATGCCACACCCCAAGTGCTCGCCTGTGAGAAGAAGAAGAAGAAAACATGATCAGTCAAATCATCCAGATGGGGGTTTACACAGAGGTTTCTTCAGCCTGGAAACACCCCTGCAGATTCTACAGCATCACCAGTAAACCAATAGGAAATAGAAATTTCCACTTACGTCATCATCTTCAATCAGCGTCACCACTCTTCCGGGCTGCAGGAGAGAGGAAGAGAAATGGGTCACGTCATGGGCAACGCCTGATCAGCAGTCTGAGCCAAGCAATTCACAATAAGCAGCAAAGCAAATCGACATGTCAAAGTAAGTTCAAAAACACATTAAGCATCTCACCAACTCGTCGTTCCCGCGATGGAAGTTGTCTCCGTGCCAGAAACGTCTCTTGTAGCCTTGAATGTAACCGACCTGGCTCCTCTTGTACCTAAAGTCAGGCTTCCACACCAGTGACCCGTACCCGAAGATCCACAGGCTGGTCTTCCCGGCGATGATGTCTTGAGGCTTCATTTCGATCGGTAGTTTTGATGACGTTCAGATGAATCGATGGCTTACTCTTTCACTTGATGTTACTAGCTAAGATGACTAGCTTGCTAGCGTTAGCTTCCTCCGGTCCAGGAGCAGAGGAACCGGCTGGCTCGCAGGTATACCGCGAACGGTATTTGAGCCCAACTGCTTGGCAGTTGCGAAGATGGAATTACGCAGTTGATTTTGCCTTGCACGATGCATTGCCGTTGCATTAGAGGTGCCGCATTATGCCTTAAAAATCCATGGCAGCCGCTTCGGCCTTCTGATCAGTGGACGAAAAAAAATCATAAACCGTCCCGGCCAGCTTTTTCGCCGGTCGGTGACAGCGTGGATTTAAAGCGAATAAAAAAAGTCGAGGTTTGATTTGGTGATGTAGTGTTTCTCACGCCTAGTAGGTGATCTTGTCCCTGCCAAAGGGCACCGATGATCTGAAGCGTTTCCTCAATAATAAACTGAAGCGGCGCTCATGTATTTATACATTGCAGGGTAGGTGGGCGAGTATGTTCCATCTTTTAGGGCCAATAATATTTGAGGAAGACATGTCCTCGATCCCATTTTCTCCAATCAGATTTCGGTGCGCCGAATAAGGCGGGACGTTCACTCAAACTCGTTACACTATTGGCCCAAATGACATTTGAGATTTACACCCACCTTTCAACGGGATTGGCCCATAAACTGTCACTCCAACTGATTCAATTTATGATTGGCCGCCTGCGTTGTCATTCTCTAAATAAATTTCCATATGGTTCAGACTTGATGTGGCTGATGCAACTTCCCACAGCATTTCAGGGCCATGGCAGCAACCTAGCAACATACCAAGACATTGCATCAGATCTGTTGTAGGACGAAAGTCCTTAATAGGAGTGGTGCTTTCTGTCTCTCTATGTAAGACATGTCACTAAGAAAATAAATAAACTGTATATTAATTTGTGTTGAAATTAAATATAATAAAAAAAACTATTTCTGTCTGATAGGGTGATGTGACCAGACACAGGACGGAAGTCACTTTTGACATGTGAGGGAGTTAATCAGCACTACATGGATGTTTCCATGAGCCAGAGCGTGAGATGACTGTAATCTAGTCCCACAGCTCAAAGATCCAGGGCAAGACAAAGGTCTCTCATCTCACTTCCAGCCATCTGCAACATGGAAAAAACTTGTTAAAGAAGGGTATGATGGTATTTTGTCTGCAAATGGACTCTACATAGGAACTTAGTAATAATAGTACAATTTGGGTGTTTGTTAACAGTTTAATCCAGCAAGGAGGCTCACTTACATGGGGCAGGTGCATGATTGGCTGGCTCACCACTGGGTTAGCCTGTTATCATCATAAATCTTACTCTTGCAGAATTATTCCAATTTTGCAAACGCAAACGCATGCCCCTTTTAACAGACTTTACTCAACAAGCATCCAGGAGTTAAACAACAGGATAAAAGCAAAAGCAAAAGCAAAAAACAAAAGCTAAATGTCAAAATGGTAGGTAAAAGCAAAAGCAATAATGTAAAAGCAAAAGCAACAGGGTGAAAGGAAAAGTAATGAGTAAAAACAAAAGCTAAATGTAAAAACGGTAGGTAAAAGCAAAAGCAATAATGTAAAAGCAAAAGCAATATGATAAAATCAAAAGTAATACTGTAAAAGCAAAAGCATAACAGCAAAAACAGTAGATAAAAGCAAAATGATAAAAGCAAAAGCAATATGGTAAAAGAAAAGCAATAGATAAAAGATTTTTTAAATTTTTTTATTTATAATTCTTTATATTTCCTCAGTTTTTTTATTTCCTTATTAATTCTTTTCTTTATTCCTGTTTATATTTCCAAATTTATTTTCTTATTCTTCGGCAGATTTATTATTTTTTAAGGCACTCCTATGACTCCATACTTTGGTAGCCAAATGCAGGGTCATAGAAGGAGCGGGTGATTTCTGAGTTCATCCTAGGTTTAGACTCTGTGTGGACAACCCATGTACACTAATTAGCTAGTAAACCAAATACTAAAAAAATAGAAATGGCAAAAAAAAGGAAAAATACAATGACGAATCAAAACTGGCAAAACACTGACCGCAGCGGAGACACGACGATACAGAAACATAATCAGTACGATGTCAGACCTGATCAAATGTACAGATATGCCCACCACTCCTGGTGGATCTGATATAATAGTAGAGGCTTATCTGTTCTCATTAAATAGATTATCTATAAATAGCTGGCATTACCTGCCTTGATAAGAGGCCAGACAATAAAGCACCACACAATCCAGGCCTTTGAGCGACCCTGTGTCATGCACAAGTGTCCATCCAATTATGCCATGGCCTTTCATGTCCATCTTCTCCTCAAGCCTGCTGCTACAGTACTTCAGAGCTGCTCTCCAGCCACTACTGCCTGTTATCTAATCTAATGCTCTGCTCCGATGTTTTGACTAGTGGACTTATCAAATACTCACTTGTCTATTTGTCTTTGCTGTCAAACTAATATACTTAAGTTTAAGCCCCAAACTGAAATATTAATCTGAGTTGGTAATGTTTGCGGAGTTTTTTGACTCAATTTCCCTGTTTGTTAAGGCTCTTTTTTTGTCAGCTCACAAGATATGACGTATTTCTAGATAAACAAGATTTTTAAATCTGGTTATGGGTGTGGGAAGTACAACATATGAATCCCTTCTGCAGCACTGAAGATGGTGGTTGTTTTTCGAGTACGATGTAAACATTCCTTTATAGGTCAGGAGTTTGTGGCCAGGTTACTGGGACAGGTCAGTAGCATCTAAAACGTCCCAAATTCCTACAGTGGGTTAGTCTGAATAACTGGACGCACCATGTATTTTTGATTTATGGTTGAATTCATCATTATATGCAAATCAAAATAAGGCTTTTCATGCTCTGATGTGTTTAGGTTAGGTGTTGCTGTTTCATTATGTTGCTTTAGATTTGAACTTGAGTGTGACTGGGGTTTTATTTTGGCATGTACTGACCACTTATTTCCTGTGTGTGGGTTTCTTACTGACACCTAGTGTTAATTAATGAGACAACTACAAGGGCAGGACAGGGCAAGGTTACAGAGCACTGGATAACACCATCATATACTGTATCAGCATGATTTGCATACGAATGCATATTCAAAAGCAGCCATGGTCAAAATGAGCCAAATCAGCCTCTAATTAAAACAATCAGATGTTGCAGGAAAGGAAGCCAGGATTACAGCTATGTAGCAGTTCTGCACTCTTGATTGTAATTGACACAATCTTTTGAAAAAGAAAAAGAAAGTGTTTTGTGGAGGGACTTTCACATTCCTCATGAAGAGATAGGAAGATTGGAATTTCAGATCTGCTTCCCTATTCTCCACTTATGACATCAATTCATGTATTTTCCCTGTTTCCTCTTTCAGAGTAAATAGTGCTGATTAGTTTGTGTGTCTGTGCTCTCACTTGTTTTGAGGTTGTTTCCTGAAAACCCAGAGTCATCTGTGCGAGCGAGTGCCAACTGAAGAAAGCAATGCGTGAGAAAAACAGTTGGCCTGTGCCGGCATGTTCGGCATTTTTTAATCACGGAGGAAACAGGAACTGATGTCACTGGGTCACAAACAGGATGCTGTGATTATAACACAATGAAAATTCTATGGAGACCCAGAGGCCAAAGAGCAGAGCCCTAGCATGTGTTTGCCACTGCGATCAAGTGTGAATGAGGGTGTGTGGCTGCTTTAGGTGCGAGTATGATGATGGTGGGAAAAAACTCCTAAGTACTATCAGGCTGGGTCAGGTTAAGGATGATTAATCATTGTGAGAACATGTATGTTTTTCTTGAGCCGGGCTGGAAGCTCCCTTTTCTAAACTTTTTTATTTTATTTTTTTTTACACTCACACTCACACATAAGTCTTTAGATGAGGATGCACAGGTCAACAGGCTAACAGGATGTGTGTGAGGGAAAAGCCGTCCAGATTCTCTGCCGAGTGTTGATTGCTCCTGATTAGGGGGTGTTGACTGTTGCAAGATTTCTGTTAATTGGAGGCAGGAGAGGTTTTTTTATGATGCGGATGACATGTTGCCTTGACACAAAAGTGGACATATTGGAACTCATTTTAAGACTAGTCCGTCATGGGGTGATCTCTCCTCTAAATTGCAGAATGGTGGTCTATCAGGGGCAAACTGTATGGAACAGCAGTATTTTCCCAATGGACAAGAAGGGCAAAGGGTAGTAAGATTGACCAGATTGCTCTGACAAGTCAACTTTTCTTAAAAAGATCTTTTTATTTATGTGAATTCATAGCAGATCCACTGGCTCCCATCTGGTTTCCCCTCCCCTCTGCCGACAGACCCAGTGCCAGGTCTTCTCCCCAGCTTTGTTTGCAGGAGTGGGTGGTACAGAACCGGGCATTGAAATATTGCTCCTAACCCTGAAGGGGAGGCAGGCAGTTGGGGAGCCTGTAAGTGCTCGAGTGTGTTTTTTTTGGGAGGAGGTCTGTGCACTCTGTGTGTCATGCACACGGGGCGAGAGGCCTGGCATATGCTGCTGTTTTTATGGCACTACAGATTCACTCCGTGCTCCCCCACGGCATCTGTTTGATTGGCTGTGTGTGTGTGTGAGTGTGTGAGGTTGTGTGTGTGTGTGCAGACGCGTATGCAAGCATTATGGAGGGTGGTGTGGTGGGGGGGGGGTGGTGATGGTGGTGGATGTGTGGGGGGGGGGGGCGTTCCCCTTTGCCCTGTGCCTGGCTTTGTTTCACCATTTCCAGCTTGAGGGGCTGGTATCCGTGGAAACGGATTTGAATTTCAAGCCAATTTAGGGCCGGAGAGAGGATGAGGGGTGGGTGAATGGAGTGGGAGCCAAAGGCGTTTCCAGGAATTACTCGAGGTAGTGATGCTGCAGTCAGGGAGCTTTATGTTTCTACATAAAGTCCAACACATCACATTTGATGTTGTGTGAATGTAGGAAAAGCAGCTGGATTTCATATTCATAAACCTGCTCACAACTGAAGAGACCTGGCTGTGCAATAGGTAGTACAGGATATCATTTTTAAGCTTCAGCACTTCAGCTCCCCTTAAATCAAATCTAGATAAAAAGAAATACAAGACACATTTGATCATCATTTGTACTCATTTTCATTATTTAAAAACACCTCAAAAATAATTTCCTTTTCCATTTACTGACATCAAATTAAAAACAGTTTCCAAGGAAGTTTTATTCTTCAGAAGTTTGGTCCTTATAAATATGCATTATATACAAAATAATATTATAAAACATATAAAGAGCAGTGTGTCATATTTAAATTAAACTCTGGAAATAATCATTTTAAAAAATTACATTATTGGTTCTGTATTTCTGAAATTTATTATAGGCAGGCAGTGGCGTGACAGTCTTTTCTCTTTGTTTTCCTCAGTTGGGTTGCATAGAAACACTTTTCTATGCACTTTTCCTTACTCTTGGATCTTGCTGGCACA